TGGGTTCGAGGTGGGAGAGATACAGCGACGACATACCAGATTTGCACGCCCGCTGATCTCGGCCACCAGGTTCCGGGTATAGTTCTTGCTGGGGTCATTGCGCATGTATCGTGCCCAGTCGGCGCTGCTGGACTTGTACTTGGACATGAAGCCCATGAGAACAGCCGGGTCGACATGGTCGTCATCGATGCCGGAGCTCCCCAGGTACTGCTTGATATCTTCTACCAGGGTATCGAGGGTGTAGTTTGTGTTGGGTTTGCGGGATACGGTATAGTTCTGGACGCGATCAAGCGAGGCCGGGTGACTGGCCACGGAAACGGGAGCACACAGAGCAGGAGACATTATTTCGGAATTGTGCGTGAATCAATGATTTCAGGGAATATACACTAAACAGAAGAATGTGGTATAGTTGGCACATATTGAGGCGATATATGTGCACCCCTTATCTGGGCCAATCGCCGACTCAGTTGTCGAACGGCGACTCACCCGGGGATCCAAACAGAACAGCCAATCAGAGCATGGCAAACTACATAGGTGAGTGGAACAGCCCATCTCATGATCAGCAATATAATTGGGCATTGATGGCGATGGAAGACATGGACAGCTTATCATTATCAATGCAATTGAAGGATTGGCCCAAGGGGTAGTACGATGGCCAGCGATAGCCGTGGCTATGCGGTCAACAGGATCACCACATTATCAACGAAGCGGTGAATGGGACGCATTGACGTCAACCTGTCGATGATACAGTTAGTAAAGGGACAGGTGTTATGGGTTATGAGAAGATAAGCCCGTTTGGCTGGTCATTTGAAGCTGCTGAAGCGCTCATCAATCGCACGGACTTCGCAACGGGGAAATCAGATTATCAGTCCTTCCAGTGGAATAACGCGAAGAAACCTAAGCCAGGGCATGGATCGGATCATCGGACGGAGGACGTATAAAGATAATTATAACTACGGGAAGTTGACACTGTTGTATTCAGGTCAAACGCATGGCTTGCTTGGAACTTTGTACGGCCGAACTATGTAACTCAACCTCGGCAGAAAGGATGTATACAGGAAACAGTGGGACAAAACAGTCAGGAATTGCACATCCTAGATCGAAACAGTTGACCCAACCAAAGCTGCAATCCGAACTTGCCAACAGATGAGAATCTTGATCGGCATAAACAGGAACGTCCTGACCTCTACCGGGGCCGACAGTACAAGGCCAGGTGCAACAGCTGGAGTTAGAGATGGTCGAAGACGGTTTCCAACTCCTGAAGTGGTTTCCATATTTCTTCGCGAACGTCTTTTGAAGCTGCCGGATCCGGTGCCTGGAACAGACGAGGACTTGTGTTTCGGTCGTGCTAGAAGCTTTCTGCTAGAGGCAATATGCAGCTGTAAGGTGGAGTGCGTGTCCTACGTTCTGACGTAGATCGCCGTAGTTAACCTAGCCCCCATTTGCACAGCGAGCCAGCTGACTGAGCCTTCTGCCTTTGCAGCTGATGACACAAAAATTCATGACATTTCACTGTCTGGACTACGGAGAATGACTCCACCTCCTGGAAAACGGGACACAAGTTCGTGGCTTGAGCCTATATCTGCACCTCGGATGACCGATTGGAGATTGCATTGGGGCTGCTCAGCCAGGATACATGACGAAGTTCAACTTCATCCAGGATAAAATCCTGCTGAGCCGGAGGCAGAGTTTGCCAGCCGTCCCTCAGCGTCGTGACTTGTGCTTTTCTCAAGACCAAGAAAGACCGATCCCTTTCGACCCAGGAACGAATCACCTCGGGAATAGGTACATGGGGTGCATTTTCCCAGACACATTCAGTTGTTTCACTCTCCGAGCTGGTGTTAGAGTCCCAGTGTCTAACTTTGGAGATGGCTTGGTTTCCTATGGCTTAAACAGCCGACAGAGTGCCTCCTTCAAGTCAAATGGAGGTCGTTGGAGTCTGTTGTGACAATCTCAGATGGCTCTTCTGGGGGAGCCGCTCGAAGCGTATACCATGAGTCTCCGTCTTTCCAAGTTGCGAGGCACGGCTTCTCCGGTGTCATAACCCGTTCACATTCCACAGGAACCGAGACGCCAGAGGGAGGGAGACGTAGGTCCCCCAGTAAAGCATTAAACACTTTCAACAGAGTCATAAATCACGGGCTATCAGTCGCTCCTCTGAATAGGTATAAAACTAAAGATTTTAATAAGTACACTCCTACTTCTTCTGTCTCTCGGCTTGTTCTCGTTCTGCAAGTAAACGCTCCCTAACCACCACCGGATCCTTATACTTCGTATTCTTAACTTTCCCCCAACATCCTATACAGTCAAAGATGAACGCAATAAATGCCATCGCCCTATATCCAGTCTCTCTTGTTAGTACAGCTACATCCATAGACAGCCCAGATACCCCAGCCGGTCACCTAGATAGATAATAAATGGATGGACGGGAAACGCACGGTAACGGCACAGTCAACCTAAACGCCAAATCCTGCAACCCCACCCACGGCCTCGGTGTATCCATCGGTGCATCACTAAGATCCCAATCACTGAACATGTTCTCGATAAGACCGTATATCCCCGCGACGATGGCCCCTAGATCTGCTATCCCCTAATAGTCCTGGTCCGACTCGCTTGATTGTGTGGGTTGGATCAACTAAGGGGATCAGTTCGAGGATGCTGGTTGTTATTAAAATAACTGATTGATAGACCAGTAATAGTTGGATGTTAGTTCAGTTTAGATTCGTATCTAGGTAACAATCAAGGGAGGGATATAGATGGCCGAGGTGGGAGAGAGGAAGTTTCTACAGACCGCAGATATACTTGAAGGAAATACTTTGCTTCGAGGGTAGGGCCCTGTGTTGCTGTATTTTGTTGCCAATTCGCGGAGGATAACCAGGTCGGCTAGGGATATGGCTAAGGTTGCGAGACGGAAGATGGTTTGGATTATGCCGAAGGGACGTGGAACTCGGGATCGAGATCTGGTCGACATTATTGACAGGTTTTCAGTATGTTGTTAGAATGTGGAAGTGAGGATAGAGGAGAGTATCGGAATGATTATATCATAAATGGGGTTTGAAACTGAGAAGGTGAGAGAGGTCAAGGGGCTCCATGTCCTCGCTGTCTGTTACGGACTTTATTAGTTATTATTACTATTACTATCGCTCTTTAGGACAGGTCAAGCCAGGCGCTCAGATGGATGCGGGAACATGTCCGATTATATTAAAGTTATATTGACTAGACTACGGCACTACAGAACCTATCAACGACTAGTAAGGTGAGAATAGTATGCTAGATGGCTAGCGAATAGTGAAGTACAGAGAGACTTGATCAATTCTGAAATGATTGGTGGCCTTTTCTGAATGGTTTTGCCGGTTGTTTAGCCGGGGTATTGCACTCGGATAATTTCACCCTCTCTTATTGGAATTCTGTCGGTTCGAGAACTTAAGTCAGGCTTTGCCAAGGGTAGGAAATTGAACCAGAGGGCCAAAGATTAAGTAGTCAAGACCAGCCAAGACTTGCAGGCTCTTTCTGGGCACTACAGTACTATAAGCACTTCCCCAAGTTCCAGACCTCCAAGTTGAATTACATTGCAGTGTCCTCCAAAGTAAATATTCATTTGAATAAACATATACTGTACATGTGTATATAGATTGCATACCTAGTAGCATATAGCCTGACTATATTTAGTCAAAGGTTCCAGCCTAGAGACTAACCAAGTCCAGAAAAGGAAAGGGCTGATGCAGTTGCAGGTCAGGTCAACGCAAGTTCGAGGTTAATCCAGTCTATGCCGGGTAAGGGAGCCCAGAGAATGCCTTGGATTCTGAATAGCCAGCAGGAATATAAATCACCATAGTTCGCTGCTGCTATGATGGCCTTCTCTATTTTCCAAAGGCTCTAGCCCCTCCTTTGACTACTTTTGTACTTTATCCTCTGATTGTGTCATTTGTTTTCGTATGTCTCTGGGCAATCTTGGCCTGTCAGGCCTTTGGGTCTCATATCTCACACTCTCATCACCGAGTTCCTCTGTGGAAAAGGAAAGTAAGGAGGCAGTAGGCTGGGAACAAAAGTCGCAGTATCTCCCCAGCCCAAAGACGCCCAGAAATACTGTGGGAAGTAACAAGTTCGCATAGCTCGAGGCCAACGTTGTCCTGATCACGATACAGAGAGGCTGGATGTAATTGCTTATGAGAAGCGGTTCAAGGGCGCTCTCCTGCGGAGACATTTTGCCATTAATAGAGGCTCATTCTCAGGTGCCGCCGGTTCAGCAACACGCATCTGGGGGGAGGAAGACATAAAGTGTCAGAGTCAAGGCATCTTTAGGCATGAAACCACAGATCTGTCCGTGAGCTTGGATGTTCTCCTATGGTTTCCCATCATATACATAGTATGGATGAGAACGGCGCCCACCCGCTCCAACATCCCGTTTGATTGGCTAGAGGTAATCCACTTCTGTTCTGCTCTCACTCTCTTGGCGTCACCCTGTAGGGCTGAACCTATATTTTCCAGGTGTAAGGGTCTAAGGGAGTGAAAAGGGGGGGAGGAACTAAGTGGAGATATAATTAATCTTATAAGAGGAGGTAGAAATGCAGTGCTGTCTTCTTTATATAGAATAAGACTACCTAAGAAGTAGATAATAATAGTAATGTAGGAAAAGGAAGTTAATATTAAAAAGGGAGTAAAGAGAATGTAGAGTGAGAATGTATGCTAATATGTAGGATTAAGCAATAGAGTACAGCATTCTTCCTATTATCCCTCAATATAGTTTCATGCTTGAGGAGATGCCGCTCACATGACCCCGGTCCATCCACATCCGGACTAGGTTAGTTTTAGCACTGCTGACTAATTGTACCGTGGCAATCTAGCCTTGGGGTTCAGGCAGCAACCAGTCGCCGATTGGGTCGCCGAAATCCCTGAAATGGAGGTGAGCCTCGTTCGTTCCTCGTCTGCACTGCCACTGGTGATATTATTTATGCCTCAGATATGATACCTCTGATAGCAGGGGATGCGGATAGCTCAAGATGAGTGACAGAAGAAGAAGAACGGCTTCTCCACAAGGCACTGCTCTGCGTCCCTCTCCTCTGGCGTGCACCGAGTGCCGCAAACACCACATCAAATGCGACGCCAAAAAGCCTTCGTGTTCCCGGTGCTTGGATGCCCGTCTGCCGTGCAACTATCTCCCATCGCGAAGGGGCGGCAGACGCAAACCCCGTAGCAGCCTACTTCAACCTCTGCAGGGAGTGACTTCCGACTTCCCAGGCATGGTGTATCAGACTCCACTGTCGGAATCAGCGGGTGGGAATCCAACCGCAGGCCCGTCCAGTCCCCCTGTTACCGGTAAAGAGGTTTCATCAATCGACTCAAGGAACTCACCGCAGAATATACAACCTGTGGTACCAGATTCTCGGTTGGTACGTCTTTACTATGAGCATTTCCACAATGCGCATCCAATTCTGGTTCCTGCCTCCTCATATGAGGAGCGGAATTATCCCAGTTTTCTCCAGCATGTGGTGCGATTCATCGGTAGTCATTATTCGCTGCATATTTCTGGCGACTCTTTCAAGGACGCTGCGACGATGCAACTGAGCCATGCTGGCGATCGAACGCCCTGTATGGTCCAAGCTTTGTTGTTGTATTCGATCTTTCTCTGTGCGCGAAGTGAGTGCAGCGAGGCGGAGAGAGCATTCTCCCAAGCAACCGATATCGCCCTGGAACTGGGAATGTTCCGTCGAGATTTTGCGACAACGTTCTCCAACGGAAACGAGATCGAAGCGGAAAGTTTACGGCGGACCTGGTGGGAGTTGTTCATTGTCGACGTGTTCATGGCGGCGCGACCACCCAAGGTCGTCCTTCGCTGCGGCAATGTACCTTACGACGTCCCCCTACCTTGTGAGGAGTATGTCTACGCCAATCGAAAGGAGATTCCACCTGCGGCGACCTTTAAGACGTTTAAGATGCGCGTGTTTCTAGAAGAGGACGAAGATGGTCGTTTCTCGCGTTATTCATCATTCAGTTATCGCATCGAAGCAGCACTCATCCTGGCCCGCGTGCTCGTCTTGAACAGTCTGCCCGAGACGCACCGCGACCATCTGCAGGCCGTGGAGAATGCGCTCATCAGCTGGACGAACCACCTACCGAGTCACAAGGTCGACATAGTCGATATGTACGGCAACGTCGACGAAATGCTTTTCCAGGCACACACGACCATCCATTACGCCGCAATGCTGCTCCACCTTCCACGCAGCAATCTGCGCCCCGAGTTCCCTGACCTCCACGTTCCCATCTGCCCGACAACTCCTCTGCGTCTATCACCATCGTGCACCCGACACGTCCACGATGTGAAAGCAACAGAAGCCTCGAAGCAACTCTCTAATCTTCTATCCATGCGTCCGAGCGCACAGGGATACAGCCCGCTGATCGTATCCCCGCTCGTCCTATGTGGCATGGCTCAGCTGGCAACCAGCCGCATCCATTCCCCAGAGTGTCTAGACCATCACTGCAACCGCGTGGTGCTCGTGCTGGGATGCTTAAAAATCCTAAGCTCTAGCTGGCCTCTTGCGCGCCAGGCCCAGCAGCATCTTCGACGGGCAGCGGCTGACTCGTTTACCTCCTGGATCGAATCGCAGCATCCCCAGGGAGCGGCCGGTCTGCCTCCTGCGTCGCGGAATGACGCTTACAAAGATTCCTCGGCCGATCAGAATGCCTGGTACAGTGCAGGCGGTCAAGGGATGAACGGGGATGTGCAGTCGCTTTTCTCCCCCGGCTTGCTCTCGGCGTATATTGATCCCACGTGCAGTGACCCGTTGTTGCTGAATACAATGTCGGAGTTTGACATGACATGACTGTCACTGACACGTACCGGCTTTCGTCGGCATCTTAAGCTTCGAGAGCATGTAGTAGATGCAATCACCAAGGGCTTTATTTCTTTCGACATTTGTACATGAGAACCAGCGTGCTGAGTGAGTTGTCAAGGAGGAATTTCGTATGGCATCGGACAGGTAGATGCCTGATCTCACGGCATCCCGCACCCAGCACTTCATCTGCTCTCGCTATGCGCAATACCGCTCGCACCATTTGTTGACGTAAGGTGCGGCGCGGCCGCATACTGTGGTACCAACGCGCGAGCGTCCGCGTCCAGCACACGACAAGCGTTCGTTCCAATACGGTGGCATGCGCAAGCCTTAACGAATACATATCGCCTCCACGTATCATTTCGGCCATGGTTGGTACCAACCCGGCGTAGGGAGTCTACATCTCTCTGAATGGCTACTCGTACGCAATGGCTATGCTTGTCTGTCTTATGAATGTCCCACTCCAGACCACCAGCAATCAGGACAACCATTCTACCTGCCCAGCCACGGGCCTGATGATCAGCTCTATAATATCCATAGAATCCAATTGAGTTGCTATCGCAATGTATCTAAGCACGGCTTAATCTACAATTCCCGGTGGCAGCAACACCACATAGTCCAGCGGCGCCGGTTCCACTCCATCCGGCTTACCTACAATCTTCAGCCGATCCCCCTTGTGGATCTTCACGTCCCGGAAGGTAATGCGCGTAGCCGAGTGTCCATCCAGATAAATCGAAGGCGTATGGCTCAGCACATCCTCGCTGTTCCCTTGCCATTGTCCCACAACGCCATCGTTCAGATACACCGTCCATTGAGACTTGCCCCCGTACATGTCATAGTAGTTGATGCCCAAATCGTACGTGCCTGTCTTGAAGTCCAGCTGGGCAACAGCTGTTCCCGTGGTGGAATTCGATGCAGTGACGATGGCGGTGAAGTTGGACGCGGTCTCGAACGGACTAACGGCGTACGGCACGTAGCCCTCCAGCTGCATGTCTTCCGCTTCGACACGCCAGGGGTGGTGTCCCACTCGCTGCTTCTCGTCGGCGATTCCGGAGAGATTATGGTAGAAGTTATTGATGGCGTCGCGCCAGACGATAGAATGCCCGGCTTGGTAGATGAGGCGGGTGAGGACGTGCTGGTAGCGCTCGGCGTCGATGCGTTTCTCGAGCGACTCCCACTGCGAGACGAAGGTTTGGGCCGTCTCGGCGCCGGCGTAGTGCGCGTCGAAGAAGTGCTGGATGACTGTTTTGCCGGAGTGCAGACGCTGCGTGTAGTTGACGTGGTGGAACCAGAGCATCAGGTTATCGGGCGTGGTCTCGATATTCTCGTACATCGCGGCAACTTCCGCGGGGTACTGGCCCGAGAACTTTGTTCCATTCTTAACGGTGCGGTCCATTCCGATAGATAGGTGATCCGCGCGAGTCCACTGGCCCCAACCGTTGCCGTCCTGGGAGGCTGGGTTGGGCCCGTAATGTGTGTACAGGATATCTGTCAGCGTCTGAATGCCGAGGTTGCCAGAGTAGTTCTCATACGCAGGCCAGGACTCCATTGACATTTGTGTGATGGTATCCAGTACGCTGCGACCCGAGCCAAATGTGAGGCGGATCCAGTCCTGCAGGATGTGCTCCGAATCCAGCGTTGGCTCCCAGGCCAGTCGGCCATACGCGTATAGATTCGACATGGCCAGATGACTACCAAGCCAGGTAGTGTTGGTCCCGACATTGACAACTGCCGCCCAGCCCCCCAAGGGTCGGTCAAACCGCTGTCCTGAGATGATGTCTCGCACTGGTGAGGGTTCGTGGTCGACACGAAGATCAAACCCCAGGATTGTTTGCCAGAGCGGGGGCAGGTACACAAGATGTGATTGTTGTCCGAGATACTCCTGCGTCACTTCCAACTCGATTGCCGTGTTGGTCTTGTACAGGTTGGCAAACAGGGGCGAGGCAGGCTCGCGGACCTGGAAGTCGATGGGTCCATACTTGATCTGTACTACCACATTCTCGTCAAATTTGCCGTCCAGTGGCTTGAAGAATTCTACTGCGGCATTCGCGCGGTCATTGTACCAGTTGTCTTCGCTAAGATTGTTGTTGTACACAAAGGCACGGAACATGACCACGCCACCATGGGGCTTGAGGGCACTTGCAAACATATTGGCTCCGTCAGCGAGGGTGCGATTGTATATGGCAGGGCCGGGCTGGCCTTCCGAGTTTGCTTTAACCAGATACCCGGCCATATCCGGGATGCGCGCGTAGAGCTGTTCCGTGACGTTGCCCCACCAAGCGATGACGGAGGAGTCAAAGGGATCATAGGTGCTGAGACCGCCAAGAGTCGAGGGAGACGCGAAATTGAGTGAGATGCCGACCCGGATCCCGTAGGGACGGAAGATATCGGCGATTCGAGCCAATCCATCCATATTCGACGGCATGAGAAGTGATGCATTCGCATTGACATTGTTGACGATGATGCCGTTGATGCGTACCGAAGCCAGCAGACGAGCATACTGCTTGACACGAGAGAGGTCCTGACGAATCACGCCATCCTTGAAAAAGATCGAAGGTCCACCATAGCCTCGCTCAATGCTGCCGTCCAAGTTGTCCCACTGATTGACCCAGCGGATGGGCGCGTGCGGACTGGCCACGTACGAGACCTGTGAGAAATTGCCCTGCGCCAGCATGGAAAGGTACTCGTATGCACCGTACAAGGCCCCTCGCTCACTCTGGCCAACGATCTGTACTGATTTGCCTTTGATGTTGAGCCAGAAACCGTCGACGTCGAGTTCCGGAACCTGGCCGCCGGTATTGCAGGCCCGACGATACGCCTCGACCGTGCCGACAATGATCGAAGAATCCGTCGAGCAGCCGGTGGACTTGACGGAAGCATCTTTTCCGAGGATCTGGTGCAGACCATTTTGGAGTTCCTGTCCAGCGACATACACCGGGCTCGATTTTGTAGCATTGAGCGTCACAATCTGCGACGGGACGGCACTCTGGCAGTGTCCATTGCAGGGAACGGATGCATACCGTAGCCAGCCATCGAGACCATCCTCTGCGGCCGCAATGCCGATAGAGGATAAGAGCGCAAATATAGGAATGCCGGTCCGCATTTTGACGGGTTTTGCGAAGGATGATCGGCTCAGGTGAGCCAGGGGTCAGCGCTGCATTTAAAGGGCTCGACCACATAACACAGTGCGCTAGATAGTCCCATCCAGCTGCTGCTACTTTTGTCATTGAAGCCAATTTTGAATTCAGGCTATACACAAAATGCGGGGAACGCTGATCTTCAGGAGAACTTGTCTTCCGTCATGGTGGTGTCCCGCCATTTGTAACTCTCTCAACATAACTCTTCGCTCGACTTGTTTACGACGACACGCCATCAGCCTTGTAGCATTTCAATCTCTGGGCCACCTCAGACGAGGCACAACAGTAGCGTCGAAAATGAAGAAAGCTCATGACGAGCAATGCTGAGGAATGCGGAGTTCGGATGTGGTTGACACAACAAGAAGCGGAGATTTCTCCGGTCATGACAGATGGATTTAGCCTAATTCTGACGACGTCCATCTGTTGACGCATTGACTCGGATCCATGGACACGCGATAGATAATTTACAGTAAAGGAGTCATCGTTATTATTATTATTGAGTCGTCGAGCAGGGATCGAAGGACAAAAGGAGAGAAGCTGGGGATCCGCCAGAAGGATGAGTCAGCAGCCACAACAGAATCCCCGAATTTCCTCACTTGTGTCGCGCCATCATTTCCTCGCATCGAATGGGATCATCTTGCGAGCGAGCATCGATGTTAAATCATCAAGGATAAGATTGTCCTCATGACAGACAGGACCAACTCGGGAGTTCGCAACTCGTTTCGAGCCCGCGCGGTACGTTTCGACCCCACCAGGCAGATTAGGATAGCTCTAATTCAACCGGCACAGTGCGACAATTGCCGACAGAGAAAGGTAATCGAAATTCCTTCATTTGGCACAGCAGGTCTAACCGACATAGATCAAATGCAATAAAGCCATTCCATGCTCCAGTTGTGGCGCTCTTGGAATCCCATGTCGGGCGAATGGTGTCACTGTGAGCACTCCAGAACCGCCGCAAAGGACTGCCTCTGGACAATAGTATGAAATACCCAAGTTCCGTGGCCTAGTGATGTATTGATATTTTATTCAGTGAAAAGAAAATTGATGCGCTACAAGAGCAACTAGCAGCCATCCAAAACACTCTGCAGCAGATTACCCAGTCTCCCATTCGTCCCTCGATACCTCAATCCACTCATCCTGCAGCTGTGGACATCCCGTCTACTCCCTCAGCGCCTCTTTTTGAAGGTCAATCCTCCTTCAATAACGAGGTTATCATTGCCAGGGATGCAGCTCTCTCGGCTGTTGCAACATCGCAGCCAGGAAGAGTGGACGCTCATGTTTCAGCACTCTTGTCTTCCCTTAGGAGCAGTCTCGACCGGCAGCAGGGATCGTCCACGGTTATCGAGCCATTTTCGCAGTCGAAGATTGAACTTTTACCTCAAGAGTTTCTCGTTACTCTGATTAAAAAAGTCAAAGGTATTCTGACTTCCCAGTCGGTTACCTGTCTTGCTGACCCAGTTAAAAGTGCAACCGCCCTTCTTCCTGACCACTCATTCATGGAGAGACGTTCGCCAAATTGAGTCATTGTGTCATGCAATCTATTTCCCAGTAGATCCTATCCCCGCGGGCTCTCTGACTCTTCTGCATGGCTTGTTATACTACATTATCCGCGACTATCTCCACGAGGAGTACTCGGATCTTGCACGCTTTGACCTCGCGGCGTACGCCGGGTTCTGCGAGAGGCACTTCCTGGCTGGACTGAAAAGCTACGAGATGATGTGCGATCCGACACTTCAGAAAGTCCAGGCTCTGCTCATCGGGGTATGTGTTTCCGACTTCTACCAGACGCAACTAATCCATGTCAGATAATCAAAGCCCAAGAAGAGTCTGATCTCCAGCTGTGCTGGACCTACCTCGCTTTGGCGTTCAATATGTGTCAAAGCATGGGTCTCCACCGAAGTGCCGCCCTGAAACACGACCCAGTTCCTGTCGCGGAGGCTAAACGCCATGCGTTCTGGTCGCTGTACACCATTGACAAGAATCTGTCATTGAATCTCGGATTAGCTTCGCATTTCCAGAACCATGACATCGATGCAGAGTTCTTCATACCTTCTGACAACCCACAGTACCGCCCTTGGGACCTGATGACTCTCACCACGATTGACTTTGCGACTTTACAGGGGCGCATCTACGATCGGCTCTACTCAATTTCGGGGACTCAGGCCACTGAATCGGAAAGGTTGAGGTCAATAGAAGAACTATCGAATGACTTGATGCTGGTTCGCGAACGCCTTCTGGGGGTAAGTGCCTTGATCGTTGACTTTGTACTTTACCAACCTTGGCCAGATCGATGTGAGCCAAGGACTCTATGCGGAGTCGCTTCACGGGATGGCTGCCTGCGCGGATTTCATCACACACTCCGTCATGACTGTAATACTTCGAGCGCAGACGCGGGCCAGTGACGCCATGGCCATCACATCTCAATGCTACGAGGCGGCGATGCGAGCCCTGCAGAGTCACCTGGAGTGCTTTACCTATTTTCGCAACCGGAAGACGCATAAGCAAACTGAATATGTCAATTGGTATGCCATTTGACCACTCACTTGAGATCGTGCTAATGGGATAGGATTCTGTTGTATCCGTCATTCACACCGTTTGTCATTGTCTTCATACATGCAATCACAACGGCGAGCACATTCGATCTGGCCTTATTGCAGGATACTGTTCAATCCTTGGAACTATTCAAAGGACTCTCCCGTGGCTCAGATCGTCTTTACACAATCTGCGCGGCTTTCTCCAGAACTGCTCAGATCCTCGTAGACTCGGAAGAAACGCTGGAAGGCCTCACACAACACCGGGACGGATCGCTTGTCATGCCGGCTTTAGACAGCAATATCGCTCTACCCAACGTTGAGTGGCCAGAAAATGTGTTTGATTCGCACATGAACAGCACTGATATCTCCATGTTCCTGAATGATTTCATCGGGACACATCGTTCGGTGATGGATATATTAAACTCTGACTATATGAATGAGACTTGACCGCAACTATCTGTCTATCGTACAAACTCAATGTTTCTCCCTCTAGTCTAGGGATACCTCAAATGACGTACTAAACTGGTCAGCTCTTCCTTGTGAAGCATATCAGCAAAACTTACTGGGATAAAGAGATAAGGGACCCGACGCTCATACTCCATCCAAGCCTCCCCGTACCGCTCCCGGCAGCGCATGATATCCCGTCTCGCACGATGGATAATCATGACGGTGAAGAAGCAAGAATAGAACCAGGGAAACGGCGAGTTGAACCCGGTAATGAGGCCCCAGGAAATAGCGAAGAACAGGTCACATGTATAGTGCACCTTGCGCGCCATGCCATCTACCCTCGTCAGCTGTGTAACCTGCACCCAGAGATAATGACTTACACCATCCGCTGCATAGGATTGAATCGCCGGTCTTTGTCGGAATGCACTGGGGATTCTCGACGTACTTCCAGGGCAACTGCGGGAACGACTTGCGGTCGACGGTGACGCCGCGTTCCTGGGCGCGGAAAAAGTTCTTCTGGCTGTTGCAGGTATCCCAAACCCAATACATGAACAGGTATGCAGCCGCCCACACAGCCAGTACCCAGGGATTCCAGTGGTAAGTGGATCGGTCATGGGAGGCCAGATACAGCGTGCAGTGGCAGTAGCTCATAGGGACGCCGGCCAGATTCCAGAAGATAAGCATGAATCCCCACTTTTCATAGTACATGTCCCTGTCCAAATCAGTATGATTACTGTGCCCACGGAGGAAAGCAAACGAACCAGCTGGTGATGATCAACTCCTCGCCTTTGGCGCAGGCGTTGGCGTACAGGAAATGGGCCATGAGCAAGAAGAGCACCTCCCCAGAGACGAACCCGTACTCCTCAAACTGCTTCAGCGCCGTTCCCAACGTCAACAGGAACAGAATGAACCACGGAATGCGGACTTCGAAGAACATCTTGAAATCCAACCAGCCGAACAGCCGCGGGTTTAGCTCTGCGCCCATGAAGAAGTCATAGACATGCGAGCCTGTCATGCGGTGCTCCGCTCCCCGCGCCAGAGCAGAGATGTATGCCACGATCGACACCAGGAATCCCAAGCAGATAGCGACGGACATGAGGGGTCCGAACTCGTCGATGAGGGTGTACAGCTTGAATATACCGGTGAAGTGCAATGCCAACGCGGCGACGATGGTGACATACCACGACGACACGGCGGAGCAGTAATATGGAAGCTGTTTCCCACCGAGATGGGGTAGCCGTTTTCCCTTGCCGTATACGCCCGGGAGGTAAAGGTACCCTGCGCCTTCGAGGATGAGAAAGGTCCAGTATATAGTCCAGGCTTTGCGGGTAGGATAGGCATGGGTGTATGCGAGGCTGACGAGGTGCGAGAGGAACTTTGTCCAGGATTGTCCTTCCTCGGGGGTGGGGAGGTGGCCATCGTAGAGGATAGCACCGATGTACATGTAGTACATCAGCAGCGGGAAGCCGATCATGAGCAGGGCCACGCCGGGGGCGCCGCCGAACTCGAATTCGACTTCTGTATCAGACGGGGAGGCATTATCGGGGCTTTTCTGGTCTTTTGCTGCCATTTTGCTTTCAATGGTCTATTGTGCTAAATCACCAAAGTAGAGGATAGGAGCAATTACCGCTGTTCATTCGCAACAATTGAAATTCACGTTCAAACGCACTGAGAAGCAATTCTTGACTTATATCCTCTTGCAAACCACAATCCCTAGACACAATAATGCTATCAAGAACTAGGACTTCATCCGCGATGTTCACGGTTACCACGGCTCCCGCGGAGACCGCGGAAAACGCGCCGACCACGGTTCGAGCATTTTTTGCGTCAAAGTATCCGTGGGATCAGTGTTGGCTAGTAATATTATAGATTAAGAATAAAATTAAATTGGACCCAACCAGACAATGATTCGGATATTTAATCGGTTGTGTAGTATTATACCCATGTCTCGTGAACTCAGACGTGCAAGTTCCATAGTGTCTCCGGGACAGTAAATATATAACTGGTGCAAGCACATCGTAGGTGGTCTCACTTTGTGTTTACAACCATTATTTTCGTCGGCATACAAGCATTTCGCATTTAACATCTAGAAGAATGTCTGCAAGCCTCCTGAACTCATCCATCACAGCCTCAGAAGTGATGCTCTGCTGTGCACTTGATGGTGACACCCAAACATTGCGCCCGAGTTATAAACCAGGAACATCAGACTACCCTCTCAAATAAGCAATAAGCACGGTAAGGAAATATATTCACCGAGCCTAGACATCAGCCGAATAAGAAATCGCAGGAAGCAAGTAAGCATAAACGTAGTTTCGACGTTCCGTGGTTTGCTTACCCCGCCTGACACCGTCTCCAAATATCGCCTGATCATCCCATCCCTTCCCTTATAATCATCCTCTCAACAGCGCCGCAATAGACAGAACGATGGCGCATCAAGTGCAAGGAACCGCATTCATCACCGGCGGCGCATCAGGCATCGGCGAGGCCACCGCGCACGTCCTCGCAAAGAACGGGATTAGCGCGCTCGCACTGCTAGACGTCAACCCGGTACTCCTGGAGGAGACGAAAAAGCAACTATTGGCTGAGTATGCACAGCTCCGCGTCGCTGCCTTCCAGGTCGACGTCAGGGACGAGGCAGCCGTCGAGGATGCCGTGCGGAAAACGGCGGAGGAATTCGGACAGATCGATATCGGGGTGAACGCTGCGGGCATCAGTGGCAAGGCGGGTCCATCGCATGATACGGACCTGTCGGACTGGCAGAGGGTGATTGATATCAATCAGACGGGGTTGTGGATCTGTCAGCGGGCGCTGATTCGGCAGATGCTGAAGCAGGAGTATGTGTTTGCTTGTGCTTGTGATCCTGGGTGTGAGCACGGCTGAGGAGCTAGGTCTCGAGGAGCGCGCGACGGACGCGGCACGATTGTCAATATCGCGTCGATGTATGGGGTTAGGGCGCCCTCGGGGGACATTGCGATTGCGCCTTATGTGGCTGCGAAACATGGTGCGTTGGATGTTGCTGGTCTGGACCATGCTAACGAGTACGGATAGCTGTTGTGGGGAATGACCAAGATGGTAAGTCATTCCGTGGTCGATGAGACCGAAGTTAACGGAGTAGGACGCCAAATCGTATGCCGGAGAGGGCATCCGCATCAACGCCATATGTCCCGGGTATGCAGTCTCCGTGGATATTAGTGCTCTACTAACGGTTCAGATTTGTGGATACGCCTGATAAGACGGTCGATAGAATCCGGCGCGCTCGACTCGCAGGTCGCGATGATTCCCCTGGGACGTCGTGCGGTGGCGGACGAGATTGCCAACGCGATTCTATTTCTCGCTTCGCCCATGAGCAGCTACATGTGTGGAGAAGCGATGGTTGTAGACGGAGGATTGACAGCATTGTCTCTTCATCGGCAATTATCGTGAGCAATAAAGGCTTAGATCAAATCGCTATATACATCTCGTCTGTGCACGCTTAAGCAGAAGCAGTAGCCGGGGGATAATCCACGTAGCATTTGGCATTATCCTCAAATGGACCGTAGAACCGCGAACGATCGTACGGCGTAAAAGGGATGCCCTTTCTCAACCGCTCGACGAGATCCGGGTTACTGGTGAAGTAGCGTCCGTACAGCAGGGCGTCATACCGGCCGTCCTCCAGCACGCCCCAGGAGTTGCTCTGGTCCCAGCCTCCGGCCGAAAAGAAGGGAGTAGTTCCAAAAATCTTGCGGAAGCTGCTCAGGTCGACATTCAAAAGACCCCAGCTACGGAGGAAGTTGTCCTTTTCCTCGTAGCTGAAGATTTGCTCATAGCGCTGCACGCGGTTAGAGCTGTGACAAACCAAGGGTTGCACTAGGAGAACTCACCGGCTCAATGAAACTAACATACGACAGATTCGGATGCGCCTTTTTCAGCGATTCGCACAGAAAGGTCCAGGTCTCCACTCGCTGCTCGCCGCGCGCCTGGTTGAACAGTCCGAACGGCGAGAGACGGATAGCCAGATTCTCCTCGCCCACCGTCGCCGTCAACTCATCCATGAGCTCGAGGACAAACCGACAGCGCTTCTCCGGCGAGCCACCGTACTCATCCGTGCGCTTGTTGACGTTGGAGCTCAGAAACTGCTCGGGCAGATACCCGTTGCCAGCGTGCAGCTCGACGCCATCGAAGCCAATCTCCATGGCTGTCTTGGCCGCATTGCAGTAATCGCGGATGGTCTGCTTCAGATGCGGGATGGTGAGCTCGATGGGCGGATGGTCCGCGTACCGCACCGGCTCGGTGGATCCCACGGGGGGATGAGAGTAGCATTCCGTCGGCGAGTCCCAAACCGTCGCGGAGGCCGAGACAGCAGGCGAGCCGGTCATCTGTGGGATGGTGGCGCGACCCGCGTGCCACAGCTGGCAGTAGATGTACCCGCCTTGTTCGTGCACGGCGTCGACAACCCTCTTCCAGCCGGCGGCCTGTTCAGGGGTCCACAGACCGGGGACACCGGGCATGCCATTGCTCTGTAAGGGTCAGGGGGTCAGTTGTGCTTTGGCAGACTAAAAAAGGTACAAACCTCCAACGAGGGCGGAACACCCTCAGAGATGATCAATCCGCCGGGGGTGGCGCGCTGGCGATAGTACTGGACCATGAGATCGCCCGGATACCAAATACGATTGGGCTGCTCCGGGGTGCTGGTAGGATTGAGCGGAACGCCCCGGTTTCGCGTCATGGGAGCATGGACCACCCGATGAGAGAGGCGAATCCTGCCATTTGCGATCTCCAGGGGTTGGAAGAGCAACGAGTCTTCGCCGTCGAGCTTGCGGATCGTCATTCTAATGGGACGGACTTGCTGGACGACCGTGACTACAGATGGTAAACAGTGGCTCCGCGGAGGCTGGTTGGTCGACGGCTCGATGATGTGTAGCTTTACCACGAAAGGCGAATGAACCCTGGACTGATCCGAAAGGGAAGTTTGAAGAATTCGTTGAAGGATTGATAATAGGATTTATGGTGGAGATGCACCAGAGGACATAGCGGCCATAAGTCGGGAGCAGCATGGAGTATGTGCCCCTCGCTGGGTTCCCCTGAAACGCGGACGTCGTAGGCTGGAAATGACGCCAGTTGACAGGATGACAGCAAATAGCGAATTGTCCAACCATAGCGTTTGGGATGGGAACGGATGGAGCACCGGGTGGGCTTGTCCTGGTCTCTCCACCCATGGCTCCGCAGCCATTTTTAAATTCCTCTGCTGAACATCACGAGGAGACAGGTACCTTGATAAAATAAAGGTTTCAGGCCAATCAATTGGACTTGCTGGTCAATGGACGGAGACCATCAAGTTCGGCATACATGTCGTCTGCTGTCGAGTTTGATATCCAACCCACGAGCACAATTCCGATTGTTGATCAATACAACTGTTCGACTAGTCTGTGTTTGAACCAGAAGGAAATAAATCCCTTTCCAGTTTGTCACTTCGAAAACGTCCGGCTACAGCAACCGTCAAACTCTGTTCCCCATTGTGGGCGTCCTGTTATCCCAATCGGACTGAACTATTTGGCCTGGGAACGGGGATATTTCGAGATGAACCAATGATTCCACCCGGAAAAGCTTCGGCTGTCTCGTATTCCTCTGGCAACTAACCTCGACCAAGGAACTAGTCCGTCCACCAAAGACCCCCCAACTGGTCCCCGAGCCTATCTTCTTCTAGCCCAGAGGAGCTAATGATGTGGCAACTGGCAAGACGGCTCGAATCCTCCAGGCACGGTGCGATGCAGATCATGGCAAATTTTTCCGCACTACTGAGGGGCGCTGCTTGTCAACTCGGTGCTTTTCCATCTCGATTACTTGGAGTTCTTGTTGCCTATTACTATTGGCATCTACAATATGATTGTTGAGGACGATCTGCGGGATGATAGTACTAGATTTGAGACAATGCAGAGATCGAGGACTGTCTCAAAATATGCCGTACTCTGTAGACAGATGGTGATTCACGCGGGATAGCCCGCCGCCATGGTGTTCATCATTTCCCTATCCCGGGCCAATACTCGGCAGTCACGCCTGCTGGCACTAGAATAGTGAAATGAACCTTGTGCAAGCCCATCTGGTCTATTGGCCCATTCCCCTATCACGATCCATCTGGCTGCAACGAACGTGACGCCCACCGTGTCATTTCCCCATCCACTTCCCACTATGGAGTACGCTGAAACTAGCAGGATACGCGATAATAATTGCATAATGGCAAATTTTTTCACAATGGCCTGAGTTCAACCTATCACATGCCTCCTCGGTGGAAAACTGCCATCAAAGTCTTGAACGAAGGATCGGCTGCAGAGTGGACTCGGATGGGATCAGCAGCAGATGGAGACAGGCTACACCTAGATTGAGCAGATCATTCGGGCCAATATAGATAACTGGGTCGCCCAGACTTAGCCTCCTTTACCTCAGTTCTTCTCCGGTCCGTTTGATTTCGATTCCGATTCTTATTTTGTACTCCTGGCCTCTGCCGTCATGCCCACTTGACGGACACAATGAGTGCAGACGCCGTCCAACAGCCTGTGGATGTCCTGCACACGGTCAATCTGGTGACACAATGTCTGTGTATACCCATCGTCACCATCTTCGTGGCCATGCGGCTCTCCATCCGCATATGGTACCGCCACGTTTCGCTCCTTGAAGACGGTACGCACGTCCTGGCCGATTGTAATCAACAGAAGAATGCTAACATCACTAGGGTCATGTCTCATCGCATGGGCAAGTTGCTTGACTATGTGTCATTGAGATCTTCTAACATCATGTAGGCCCTGTTCATGGGATACTGCGCCATCGCCATCATCAGTAGGCCACCCTTTCTGTATCCGCTCGACCCATCTAACCGTGATAGTCGGCCAACATGGCGGCGGATACCATCAATCCGACATTCACGACTCGGCAATGATCATCGCGTACTATAAATTATGCTACATCGCCACCGTCCTCTACTGTCCCATGGCGCTCTTCGTCAAGATTGCCCTCCTCTCCATCATCATCCGCATTTTCGCCCCGTACCGAAGTAAGATCATCTTCATCTACGTCTTCCTCGGCTGCCTGTGCATCTACTACATCATTGCCGAAATCGTCAAGATCCGCATGTGCGATCCCATTCCGTCCTACTGGGAGGGCACCCCGGGGCGGCACTGTCTCGACCAGAGCGCTGCTCTCCTGGCCGACTCGGTCATCAGTGTCGTCAGCGACTTGACCATCCTCGTTCTGCCGCTGCCGTTGACCTGGTCGCTGCAGATGTCACGCAACAAGAAACTCCGGGTGATAGGGATTCTGTCGGCAGGAGGCCTGGCTACGGCGTTTAGTATCTACCGGCTGATTCTCGTGCTGCGCGACGGCAAAACAACAGACATGACCATCTTCTTCACCTGCATCATTATGTCTGGGTATGTTTATCCGTCTTTCTGGTTATGACCCGTCTAACTCCCGCAGGAACGCCGAAGGAGGCGTCGGCCTCATCTGCGCCTGTCTACCGAGCATCAACATCCTCCTCAAGAAAGTGCGCAAGACCGGCTACAGCTCCAACAGATACCCCGAACAGGACTCATCCATGCAACTCGGACATGTGAAGCCGGCCAACAACAAGCGTTTCTCCATGGGGCTTTCAAAGGGCGAAACCTACGTGGATCCGACTGGGTGCGACCAGAGCCATTTGATCTCGTACGCGGGCGCCGTGGACGGCGAGTCGCGCGATACAGCGATCGGTATCCAGAAGACGGTCGATGTGTCGCAGACAGTCGAAATGTTGGATGGGAGTGGTAGTGACCATAGTCATCCTCGTCGGTATTGATGTCTTTTCGCATATATGCTTGGATGGCGTCTGTGATAGCAAATGGTTTCCATTTTGTACATTAGACTGGCATAGCATTTTCAATATATGAAACAATCTCAAACATTAATTCTAGTTTATTTGCTGTCCAATTAATTCATTGTTTTGTCCAGTGTACCTAGGCAATTGTCCAGCTGATTTAGCATTTCCCAGCCACCCAGCCTCGTGTCAGCCGCATCACAGCGACCAATGCCTCTTTCCGTCATCACGCTCTGATTCATCTGTACAACGCAAACATTAGACATAAATGCCTCGCATCTTCTTAACTTGACAGCCGTTTGTTGTCCTGTTTGTCTTTTTCCAGGGAAACAAGTTCGATGGCTGAAGTGGCTGAAGCTGAAAAGGTACGACTCCTCACTCTAATATGGCCCCTTCTAACATGGACAGACTCAACTACAACCTCCCTTCTCGCGGTCTCTGCATGATTCCAGAAAGCAAGAGACTCAAAGAGAAGATCCTCAGCCTAAAGATGGCAGTGTCACTGAAACCACCGACCGCAGTCAAGATGTCCTGCTGACGCTACCAACAATCTCTCGCGCAGCAGACCACCACGTCTTTCTCGTGCAAGACGACATCCAAA